AGAGAAAATATCCAAATTATATTTATGGTAAAAATACACTAAAAAAAATTATTAATGGACATAATCCCAACCACATTCCTGTGAAATCTAAATGATAAAACTGTACTGAGTTCATAAATAAAGCTGTGTGTGTAATTGAGGTCTTGGGACTCATTCACATGGGTGCTGTGACCTGTAGAGTGGGAAACAGTGATTTGTTTTTGTGGCTATCGCCGTTTGCAGGCAACCTATGTTACACTATGGAAATGTTGCAGGTCATAATTTGACAAGCATATGGGTGCAGGTGTACAGCCCTAAACAAAGACAGCATTCAGGGCCACTTCCCCACGCCTTCACACCTGTCAGATTAAAACCTGTGTTCATACAGCTGCTGTGTCCCCATAGTGTAACAGGTGGCTCTAGCCACATGAACAACCCACTCATTCATGCTGTACAGGCCAGAGGACCTGTGTGAATGGGGCATTTTTTACCTGTTTTTTTCCTCAACTCATTAATTTCAATGGGCTGCCTAACATGTGTGGGAACATGAAAAAATACTGCAGGCAAAGTGTGTTGCACCTAACCGCACAGTAGTGTGGTGCCATGTGTTTTGGTGGCTGTGAATGGGTCTGTTTTTAATAGATGTGTGTACAGTTGTGGCCAAAATTATTCAACCCCCAATGCTGTAAAGGGGTTTAGGGACTATAGTGTACATTTGGAATTGTATTCAGAATCAAATCCTACAAGGACGTTGTAACTACCCAAATGCAACTAAAATGACATCAATTGTTTTATGTAATACAGTAGTAAATGGTTCTTATGTGGTTTTTTCTTCATTGCCACAATTATTCAACCCCTTAAAGACTACCACTCTGAAGAACAGAGGTTCATACAGGTGCTTTCCATCAGGTATTGAAAACACCTGTGGATGTCACCGAGCAGCAATCAAGCATAATAAGCACCAATTAGGCAGCTTTAAAATGACTGTGATACTCAGCTCCTTCTAGACATTTACTGGTGTGGTTACAAACATGGTGAAGGCAAGAGAATGGTCCAGGAAGACAAGAGAAGAGGTGATTTCTCTTCACAGGAAGGGCAATGGCTATAAGAAGATTGCAAAGATGTTAAACATACCAAGAGACACCTTAGGAAGCATCATTCGCAAATTCAAAGCAAAGGGCACTGTTGAAACGCTACCTGGTCGTGGCAGAAAGAAGATGCTGACTTCGACTGCTGTGCGCTACCTGAAGCGTAGAGTGGAGAGAAGTCCCCGTGTGACTGCTGAGGAACTGAGAAAAGATTTGTCAGATGTGGGTACAGAAGTTTCAGCCCAGACAATAAGACGCACACTGCGTAATGAAGGCCTCCGTGCCAGAACTCCCAGGCGTACCCCCTTGCTGTCTCCAAAGAATAAGAAGAGTCGACTGCAGTATGCCAAAAGCCATGTGGACAAACACAAAAGTTGTGGGATAGTGTTCTGTGGACTGATGAAACAAAATTAGAACTGTTTGGGCCCATGGATCAACGCTATGTTTGGAGGAGGAAGAACAAGGCCTATGATGAAAAGAAACACCTTGCCTACTGTGAAGCATTGGTGGAGGGTCAATCATGCTTTGGGGCTGTTTTGCTTCTGCAGGTACAGGGAAGCTTCAGCGTGTGCAAGGTACCATGAATTCTCTTCAGTACCAGGAGATATTGGATGGAAACGTGATGCAGTCCGTCACACACCTGAGGCTTGGAGACGTTGGACCTTTCAACAGGACAATGATCCCAAGCATACCTCCAAGTCCACTAGAGCATGGTTGCAGAGGAAAGGCTGGAACATTTTGGAGTGGCCATCGCAGTCACCAGACTTAAATCCGATTGAGAACCTCTGGTGGGACTTAAAGAAAGCAGTTGCAGTGCGCAAGCCTAAGAATGTGACTGAACTGGAGGCCTTTGCCCATGAAGAATGGGCGAAGATACCCGTAGATCGCTGCAAGACACTTGTGTCAAGCTATGCTTCACGTTTAAAAGCTGTTATAACTGTAAAAGGATGCTGTACTAAGTACTAAGATTGAATGTCACTTGGGGGTTGAATAAAACTGATAATGCTGTGAGCACAGAAAAGACATTTGTGGTTTATTTCATTATAACTGTTATGTTATATTTGTCTGACCTACAAGTGCCTCTTTAATGTAAATGTAAGCAAGATGACTGAATGATCAAAAGCAATGTCAAACTGGCCAAAACACTCAATTTCAGTGGGGGTTGAATAATTTTGGCCACAACTGTATGTGCAGTTACGTTTTCATCATGGTACCTGCGCACATCTGCAAAGGCCATTGCATTTCTTTACTGTGCTGGAAAATGTGTGTTCTTGCATGCGTTTCTGCACCACCAATGGTGTGAACAAGTCCTAAGGGCCAGTTCACACTATAAAGAAACAGTCTAGATGTGTTCCTGATGCGTTTTTTTTCATGCCCTTTTGGCATGCATGTTTACTGTGTGTTCTAGTACATTTTGGATGCGTTTTGGACACGTTGCATTGCATTTTTGTATCCCTTCCAGTTAGTTTTTTCTACTTTCTTTTTATTCAATTTAATTAGGGACATATGCGTTTTAGTACATTCAAGGGCGTTTGAATGCGTTCCAGTACAGTTCTGTGCATAAACAATGCAGCGTGGTCAACTTTGTTTACAGCACCTGCAATGCACTGAAAATGCAAGCACTGATGTGAACTATGACATTGACAACCATATAACCTTCTTTGTGATGCTGAAAAAGCAACTGAAACACATGTAGTGTGAACTGGCCCTAAAGATTATTAGAAGTAAGGGAACAGGACTGACCAGGAATTGTGAATTCAATCAGACTAGTGGTGAGACACAATCAGCAATTGTATAATAATGTGAGATCTGAGCTGCAACTGATAGAAAATGAGACACATTCACTTGATCAGTAAATAAATAGTTAAAAAGAGTGGGGCAGTGATCCATAGATTTGCATATGGGACAGGTGATGGTGGGGCGGGGGAGGGGGTCAAGTTATATAAGGAGACAGGTTTAAAAGAAGATTAAAAAAAAGTTACAATGAAATATACACAGCATGAAACAGCATTTCCAACTTGTCAGAAGAACAGGATGCAGGTAAGATTCAGCCCCTTTCCACTTTGTAGTCATTAGGCAAAATCTTAATTGATTGATCAATATTACTGTCACTGACACAACCCAGAAAATTGATCTCCATTTTTTTAACATTTGTAAATGTCAAGGAGATTCTAATCTAAGGGCAGAAACACTGCCATGTACTAGGCCCAATTAACCTAACTGGATGTTTTTGGAGTTTGGGCAGAAACACATCCATACAGGGAAAGCATGCAAACTGTACCTAATTCCTCCCCAAGGACCATTTTGGCACCCACCCTGATGGATGGATGGAGCTGGATGACTAACCCATAGCTGCCAGCATACCGCTGCACCCCCAGATGTGTGATGTGTATAACCCATGCGCATTAATACCTTAACATAGAATAGTTACATGATTAAAGAGAAGGAAGCTATATCAATTATATTGGGAACTTAGAATTAGACATTCCAAATTATTTAAGATATAAGTGTGAAAATGTTTAACATTTAAAAATAGAATGTATGACATTCATTAATAAATGCATTAGTTGTCTGATCATTTTGGAGAAACAGCAAAAAAAACAAAATATAGGTGTACTTTTTTTTTTACATTCTAAGTATTCTCATATGCAAACAGAAAAACGCCAAAGCCCGCGGTTGTGCGCCATCTAGTGAACATATCCGGTATTGCACCTAAAAATGTGCAAGACGTGATTCCACATTTACTAAGAGGAAAGAGTCTACAAGTAGACGCTTTTCAATGAGTTTGCTAGACGCCTTTCAGAAGACTGACAGGTCTAGACTGTTTGAATTGAGTCTGCCTGAACGTTCAGCGTCTACTGGTAGACTCTATTCTTAGTAAATCAGGGCCACTGTGTCAACGAGTGACACACACACACACTCACTTTGCAGAGTGGAGTTACCTGACAGCCGCCCACAGAGGAGCCGGAGAGGGGGAAGGGAGTAGCACGTCTACAGGTAAGAATGCGCTGCTTAGCTCAGAGGGAGGGTGGGGCCAGTCGGGGAGGGTACACTGTATGGAGTCTGGCTGAAAGGGTTAAAGACAATCCTGACCCCCCCAATGTACTCTGATGGCTTTCTGCCCCTCCTGGACTCTGCATTACTGCAGCTATAGGACTGTGCTGTGGCAGTGCAGAGTCAGGTCGGAGCTTACCTTCCAAATGAGTCACGTATTCCTGCTTGGTCAGCGCTGTCATATACAAGCCACCTTCTTCTTCAGCTCCCGCTCTCTGCACTCCTTCCTTCTGGTTGAAAAACACTGACATAGCCAGTCTGTGGGAGCCAGAATTATTGTTGGTTGGTAGGGGATCAAATACTTACTCACTGAACTCAATTTATAACATTTATATCGTGTTTTTGTCTGGATTTTTGGTTGATATTCTGTCTCTATCATTTAAAATGCACCTATGATAAAAATTATAGACCCTTAATTTCTTTGTAAGTGGGCAAACAAAATCTGCAGGGGATCAAATAATTATTTTCTTCACTGTATATTAATGTATATGAGTTGCATTAATGTGTCTTTATATCTTTCTGCAGTTCAACATTTTCCAAACCTAAACGGCTTCAGAATTTGCAGCTGGCCTCTGACTTGATCAGGGCAACATGATTTTATTGTTGGTCATCACACGCCATATTTGACCACTACTTTTGGACTAGTAAAGCGAGAAAAAAATGTAAAAATACTACTTGGCTGAGCAACATATTTCCCATAATGCTTTACAGTTAGGCTCACCCCTGACATTCTCCTCTACTGGGCTATTGCTTTGATTTTGTAAGAGGAGATTTTGGAAAAATTCCCAGTACAGCTGAGCTCCCTTTCTATGCGTATATTTTTGCTCTGATGTCTACTGTTTAATCTATGTTATATTTCTGTCTAATATTTATCCACAGAAAGAATCAAATGCAAGGTGTCCAGGAGAGTGTGAGGAAGACACAGAGGCTTCCAAATCTGTCCCCACAAGCTATCAAGCATCTGTGGATTCGTACAGCATTAATTGAAAAAGTTTTAGATAAAATTGTTCTTTACCTAGTAGAGAATTGTAGGTAAGTGACAATTTAGAAAATTTTGAGAAAATCTGTATTTTTTTTCAAATTTCTAAATATACCCTTTTTATTAGATTAATAAACAATAGACACTTGTGCTTGACGTTCTCAAAACATATCTGACCAAACTAAATACAGTTGTGATGGAGTGGATGTATGGAATATGAAAGGCACCAATAGTTGTGATAGAACCATCATGCACCTCCTATGTATTGGATCTTACTTGTAAATGCCTTTAACCCACACTGGTGATCATTAACACTACTGATGAAAGAAAAAATTAGCTTTTTTTAAACAGCATGTTCATTTTTAGGCCCTGTTCTGTTTCAATTGCCGCTTTAAGCATTGAAAATACCTCCTTCGGCCCAGTCTGTCTGGATAGTATGGTCACCTGCTGACTTGGCGCAACCCACAGGCAGCTTAACTCTTCAATAAGACACAAAAGTGGAATCCAACACAATTTTACTTCAACTAATTGAAGTACAGAAGATATTTTTCCAGTCTTTTGAATTGTAAGAAGTTGATGACTTTCCTAAGTCAACTGAATATCTAACATTGACTGAGGGAACACGGAAGACTTGGGGAGGTTCTAGTTAGGACTAAGCTAACTAGCACTAAACAGAAGGGGAGGACAAAGTAGGATAACAAACCAACAGTAGTAAAAAAAGTTGAAGTGGCAAGAAACCAACATTAGATGGCCGCATACTACAGAAGAATGATAACCTCATGCAGTTTAATACAATACCTAAAGAAATAATTGACAGTGGGGCATAACAGACTTTCATTCAAGACTTAGTGTCAAATATACTGAATCCATTTCTTAAAGTTAATTTGTTATATATCCTCATCATTAGAGAGAGGATTCATACATTTAATATATCCAAGTTCCTGAAATGAATTGGCACTCTGTATGGATAAGACTGATCCAGTATGTAGGGCATGGGTTTTCAACCAGGGTTTCTCAAAAGTTGCTAAGGGTTCCTTGAACAGTGAGCAATTTCTGCCTCTCAGATAAGTTTTCCAGTGACACCACTGATCTTTTTAGCATTCTGTAAGAGGGTAATTGTTCCCAATAATCACAAGTGTAAGTAGCATTCTTCCTATTGACCATCACACTAATGTATCATGAGTTGTAGATATAGGAATTTTTAGCAGGGGTTCCCTGAGACCAGAAAGATATTTCAAGGGTTCCACCATGTTAAAAAGGTTGCGAAAGTCTGATGTGTATTCCTGTTAACTGAATGTCCAAGACTACCATTCCTGGTAAATGGGGAGTCTCACATCAGTGAAAACCAAATGTCCAGATATGTCCCTCGAAAGAAAGTTCTTCTAAGGAAAAGATGATGGAAGTCACAGGTGTCTTACTGTTTTTTCTGGCAACATCTGGCTTCCTCAGAGTCCACCCTCAGACTGACTACTAATCCCCTATTATGGGCTGGAGTGCCAAAATGGCATCAACGCAGTCTGTCACACCACACAGTGCCTGACAAAAACACAGGAGCAAACACCACAAATATATGAAAAATAATAAAATACGTGTTTTTCTTATAAAATTTTGCAAATAAATAATCTTTCTTCATAAATCTTGGCCAAAATGTATTCAGCTATCCTTTTAGTTAAAAAAAATTACCTAAATTAGCTTATAACCAAAAATTATACTTTTTCTAAATGTATTTTTACATTTTTATTTTATTTTTTATATATATTTGTTTTGTTTTTTTTAACATACTGTCACCCTAGCAGTATAGTGTCACCATAGTGAAGATTTTTTTTTTTTTTTTTTACACTGATTGCTTTTACACCCATTTAGGCTGTAAAAGCTATCATTTCTCCTTCTCTCTGACTGCATTCTTGCAGCCATTGAGAAGTACTGTGAGAGCTGCGATTGGTCACAGCTTGTCACATGGCACAAGGCTGTTGTGAATAGCCTTGTACCATGTGATCTCTGTGATCATGATTCACAAATTTCACTAGTATTAAGCAATGATGATTGCTTACTACTATTCATGTGATCACTGATTGGCCATGCAGTGATCACATGATTGGGGCCTCACACAGAGGCCCCGTACAGCGATCGGTGCCGCATGTTCCCAGGGAGCGTGCACAGGCTGAAAATGTGGGCGCCATTTATGAATGGCAACCCGCTTCTGCACTGCTCCTGTCTGGACGTTTATGTACATGGGCCGGATGGGAAGTGGTTAATATTGTTCTTTTTGATTATATATTGTTTTGACTCTGTTGTAGTCCCTTTTAGTGGTGTAGATTGGGACTTTTTGCCTTTTGGTATAAAAGTCATCACGAACATCGGATAGGTAAGGAAGTAAGGAAGTTGGTAGGCGTTCTTGAGGGTTATATTTTACTGCTTGTTGGAGGGGGTGTGTGCGTTCACTTGCATGAAAGTGATTGAGAGAGAATAAGAGATTGGCTTGATTTTCTCAAATTCTCAATTAATGCAAACCGATTTGCACATCACAACACACAACATTCACAAACGTAGGACACTGAGGTACATACAAATCCCACTGTAATCTAAATCTATTGGGTATCCGTGTGCATGTCAGAAGTATTAAAATAAATGTATCTGCATAATTTTGGCTAAATCAGTTAAGGGTAGCATGGGTTAGAATTTGATTGGTAGATAGATAGTGGATAGATATGTAGATAGATTCATAATAGATAGATAGAGAAGATTTGAAAATTATGATTGTGTGTGTCTTCATTTTCTGTTGTGTAATCAGAAGGCACAATTACATTTAGATATGTGTTATTCATTACCATTACCTTTACATAGCTGCTTCTTCTTTTAAAGTTTACAAGAATATTAATCATTATAGTGTCTGTAGTTAAAACACATGCATTGTTTTTCATAATCTATTTGTGTTTTCATAAAGATTTATATTATATGGTCCCTTTTACATAGCTGTTCTGTCTGTCTGTTAAAATGGACAGCAATGCACTCCTCTGTACAAATGGATGTAAACAGACCAAAAAAAAGAAATAAATTAAAAGTATAGTGTAAAAAAAATTAAAATGAAAAAATTTCTCTTTTTTTTTTTTTTAACGCATGTGTCTGTCCCACACTCATAAACAGCAATTGCACCACACGTGAGGTATCACCCTGAATGTTGGAGTGAGAGCAATAATTTTTAACACCAGACCTCTTGTGTAACTGTAGACTGGTGTCCTGTAAAGACTTTTAAACCATCGCCTATGGATAATTAAACAGACATGGTTTGCTGCCGTTCCACGGGCGTGTGCAATTTTAAGGCATGATATGTTTGGGTTCGAAGTAATTTTATAGCAAATAATTGCCAATTTTTATATACACGTGAGAAGTGTCCAAATAGGCCTGGTATTAAAGTGATTAAATGGAACAAGTCTACATTTTTGTGACATTTAAAAAATGGAAGAGAACGAAAAATGGATATAAACAGATGAAAATCAGATGTAAACAGAACAGAACTAAGCAGAAGATAGGTGTTAACAGATGTAAACTGTATCCATTTTTTTCTTAGCAAAAACGTGACTAAACAGATTGCTTTTATAGTTGTTTTAATTTTTTTTTTTCTGCCTGTAAACACACCTCTTTGTTTAGTCTATGTGTCCATGCACACATAGGAGTTTACAGGCATATTAGAAGAGGAGCTTTTACCGGCTGAAAAAATCATCACCATTCAGGAAAGGAGCTTTTGGGCAGAAAAAAAGTTTAGCAATTGAGTATTTATTTCAGTGGCCAGAATAAATTCATATTCTGGCCAATGGAACCCATTAACGCTCAAATTCTTGACATGCCTATGCCTAAACGCCTGTGCAAAATGTGGCTTTAGGCACATTTTTTTAAGTAGCTTTTTCCTGTTAGGAGAAAAGTTGTTAAGGAGAGCCAAGCAAACGCTCAGTGTGCATGAGGCTTTAAACTTCTTTAAATTTTTAGTAGAGTGGAGAAAGTTTAGAAAGTCATTCATATTTTTATTGCGGTCTGAGCCTTCCTATCCCTGTGAGTCCTTTTCCCCATATTTGTTGCCTCCCTTGATAAATCGTGAAGGGAAATCTCTTCAATGAAATCCATTCTCGATTCTATCCAATACCATGTAAGGAGAAGCTGGGTTTGACTTCTGACTACATGCTTGTTCCAGCGTGGCACAGGAGCTTATATTTCATGAATATTCTCGTATGAGTGCCTGCTTGCTTAAATTACAGACTTAAAGAATAAGTTCACCTTTTGCACAAAAAACAATAAATGCACTTTTTTTTTTGCTGGAAAAAAAAATGTGCATTTATTATTTTTGTCTGATGGAGCCTGTAAAGCATTGTACTGGTGATCGGTAGATCATCGGTGCCATGCAGTTCTCCTGCAGACCTGCCCATATTTCTGCTTGCCTGTACGGGATGTACAAGCAAGCAGATATACTAACAGGAACAATCAATGAACTACCACGTTGCTCCACAGCACCATGGTAGTTTATTGAAAACGACAACATCCTCTAAGGCTTTTGGGACTTGCAGTTCATTCATTCACAGAACTCTGTGAATGAATGATGCGGCCATGTTGGGAGATAGTACGGGGAACTTCTCCCCGTACTTCTGTCACAGGGAGGGGGGTGGGCAGTGGGTGTTGTCTGCAGCATTGGGAACATGTTACATGTTCCAACCTAAAAACAGGTGGCACATGTAACATGTTCCCAAAGGTGAACTTATCTTTTAACATGCCTTCATAATTTAATCATTTGCTTGGTAATGTTCAATGAGAGAGGATTTTTTCTTTAAAATACATGGGTAGCTTAAAGTGTATGTCAGATTTTGCTATCAAATTTGAAAAAAATCCACTAAATGTTTGTGTTCCCATTCACACAGCATGCCTTTCTTTTAATGCTTTTCTTAACACATCATACCTTTTTTAGATTTTTTTCAGGAGAAGGTGTCATGGCTGACTTCAAGGTTTTTTGAACAATGTCAATGAGTCTGTGCTAAATCTGTCCTTATTGACATATGATGCAAGAAGCCCAGCTTCTACACCTTTAACCCTTTGTTAGGGCAGACAGTGTTCAGATATAGTTGAAATTAATAATAAAGATCTACCTGCACAGTACAGAAGGAATTGATTACAGCAAACACAGCTGTCCAGCCACCTCATAAACAAAGTAGCATGCTGGATTTTTTTCTAGCTGGGGAGTTCGAAATAGAACACTTAAAAAAGGCAAGCTGTGATTTAGATTTTTTTTTTTTAACTTCTGTATATGTGAATGGGGACATGTAATAAATATAAAATAGGTGTTATCCCACTTTGGCTGCAAAAGAGGAAAAACATTTTAATGCTATTGAGTACAAAGGTTGTACGATAGCCAGTTGTGCAGGTTTTGGTTAACTGAAATATTATCTGACATGGATTTTAATTGTGTGTCTTCAATTGTTTTTAAAGCAAATACTATGAAAAAGAAGCACTTTTAATGGATCCAGTGGAAGGGCCGATCCTTGCCTCCTTGCTAGGTAAACAACGTATTAGATAAGCTTGATGTTTGCAAAAATACTCATTAGACAGCCTGGCTGAAGCAGTCCTCAATGAATTAAGAGACATATTCAATACATTAATAAAGTGATACTAAAGACTAAACCTTTTTTACCTTAATGCATTCCCTGCATTAAGGTAAAAAATGCCCCACTAGATGTATCACCCCCTCACTCCCCTTTATACTTACCTGAATCCTATCTCGATCCACCGCTGTGCCTGTCTGCAACAGTGCTTGTGTCTGTGTGTGTGTTTTTCTCTCTCTCTTTCTCTCTAATCCTGTGATGAGGGAGCAGGAGGCACAGCCGAGCCGCACTGTGTGTCAGTAGGCTCACACAGTCCGGCTTTAGAATGAACCCACAGGAGTGCCACTTATGATGGCACACAGAGAAGACGAGGAGCATTTAATGACACAATTTTCTCAAGATGTTGCAGCATTCTTTTGTGTATTTTCCTGCAGTTTTAAAGTAATTACAAATAGGAGTTATCTGTTTCAAGTAAATATACATACCTGAATAAATGATCGTTTTAGTAGAATCTGCTGCCAACCCCTTATGTAAATAGCAGATTGGTGTGCCCTGCATTATACCAAGTTTCTGAGGTCATACTATATTATGCAAGGAATAAGATTAACAGTACATATCTCTTTGCAAAGGCATTTTCCAGTATATGAGTTTTCATTGCTTGTCCATACAAGAAATGTGTGAACATTCTACTGCCCTTTCAGTGCTACAAACTCCCCTATTTAAATAACAAGGTTTTTGTTCCTATTTTTTCTGATCTGAAGACAGTGGGATTCCCCCACAATTACCCAAATCTTTCACATTAAGTTTTAATCTATTGCACCCCTGTATGCGTAATCCTGAAAATCTTGTCTGCAAACTGTTGCCATGGCTATAGCGAAGAGAAATTAAAATTTTTGGTACTTGTAGAAAATCATTGTTGGCTGCAGATTGATGTTGAATGGTACTTTAAAAGCAGTTATTATGTCTTAATTATATATGTTGTATTAATGGCTAGTGTTGCAGGTATCAAATATTTACCTGCATAGACTTATGTGCCACTTTGAATAGAACACACATTGGTATTTCCCCAGTATCCACCATGAAAGGTATTGATGGAAAGGTTTATGCTTCTTAATTGATCAATATATGCTATTTAATCTTTAACAGACAGGTATACAGTATGTGTTTTTTAAAATGGTTTAATGTATGAAGCTGTCTTTTTAACAGAATGATTCACAATTCTTTTGAATACCTTACAGTTGGTCCCTGTGCCTTGGAGTACACAAAAATGAAGACAGCAGACCATTTCTGGACTGACCCATCAGCAGATGAACTTGTACAGAGGCATCGTATCCACAGTTCCCACTGTCGTCAAGACTCCCCCACAAAGAGGCCTGCCTTGTGTGTGAGTGAGCCAGACTGTGCCACATTGTGATGCCATTGTGGAAAATAACTGTGCATCCTACATGATGGGATCACTGATATTCTAGCCTATGGATATGCAGCTTTTTGCATGATCTGCCCCAGGCCCATTAAATGCTAATTCTAATTACATTTTTATAATTGATGGCAGGTTCGTCACATACCAACTTTTTATCTCTAAAGCCTAGTACACGTGATCAAAAAATACTGCTTTCAAAGCAATTGTGCGATAATCTGATTGTTAGTACACAGCTTTAGTCCAAAATTATTCAAAGGGACATGTACAAAAAATTTTCTCGTACGATACCAGATTGTACAATTTTCATTTAATCAGTACAGTTTTCATACAAAAATACAACACCAATACATTACAATTTAGGACATTACTTCTGAATTTTTGTTCTGTCCTATGAGAATTTTCCTAACTTTAGTAATCTTTTCATTATCGATATGAGACTAGCATGCAAAAAAAAACCAGACGATCATTCATCCAATATTCTCATTGTGTGTACAGGGCATTAGAGTTCCTAGTACTGTTAATAGCTACAGCCACTGCCGAACCAGGTAAAGGATGATACAAACCTTTTGATGGTTCCCTAATGTAGTATAAACAAATACATTAGATGTGTATATATTTGCACATGTAGCTGTTTACTTGTATTGCAGGGCAACCACCATGTCTTCTGACCTCCAACCTTCTTTATTTGCAGAGAAAGTATCTTCATATCTTTTCTTCTGCCTAAAGTTCATTATCACTTTTCAAAGGCACTTTTATTGCTGGCTTGTAAAGGCCTACGGTACCCAAATGTCATTCAATTAAGATGTGTGTGCAGCCACTTTACTCAATCTCCTCCTGACTGCTGGTTTCCTTTGCCACACATAGAGGAGTAAAGGAGAACAGCAGAAAGTTCTGTGCTGATGTAAGGCACATAGTCCTGAAGTATAGCTTGGATCTCTTACACAAGACCAACATTTATACATGAGTGTCAAAACTGTAAGCCCAAAAAAGATAACTACATAACTAAAAAGATAACTACAGGATTTTTTGTTGGAAGGTTTACTTGGTATTTTTTTTTACTAGAAATACAATACAATGTATTAGTTGACCTCACTGTCAGGGTGCTTTTAGTTCCAGGGCAGTGATCCACTGGAGGAGAGTCCCTGAAGGCCCCCTGGGCTCAGAAATTCATAATGGAATCCAATTGATTGGTGATTACTTCCATCAGGGGGACTTCCTGGTGTCAGTGGATTTCCAGGATACCTACCTACATATCCAGATTTTCTTCCCTACCAGTGATTTCTATTATTAGAAATGGAGGATCACCATTATCAGTTTGTGGCGTTGCCTTTAGGGCCGTCCACAAACCCCAGGGTTTTTACCAAGGTGTTGGCTTCGGTTCTGGGGTTATTGAAGACCCAGGGTATCCACATTGGTGTGGAACACAGATGACATGCTTATCAGGGAGTGATCAGCTCAGAAGCTAGCATCGAATGTCCATTAGTCCCTCAAGGAAAGTCTCTTTAATCAGGCCTGCATTAAGGTCCCAGGGAAGATGGTAGTTGCCTTCAGTGCAGTCCCTTATACCCAGTTTCACTCCAGAGCTCTTCAGCTCAATATCCTGTCAGTATGGGACAAATGTTAACAGTCCTCGGATCCACCAGTGCATTAGAGTCCCAACATAAGATCGACTTTAGAATGGTGGATTTATGCACAACTGTTGGATACTTTGAAATCCCTCTCTCCTTTGAAGTGGAAGGTCTTGATGATGAACACCAGCCTGTTGAGTTTTTTAGGTGTTCTGGAGAGCCTCTTGGTCTAGGAAATAAGGTCTGCAAAGAAAACAAACAGAGGGTGCATAGGCCTAGTGCATTAACTTAAAAAAATGTATTAATAAAAAAATAAGTAATATACTCACAGATGACAATAATGTCAAAGGCACATCATAAAAAGAACAACACTGTCCAGTCCACACTGAGTGATATCTGCAATGGGAACCCTGGACCTTCAACAGGCTAACGCATTTCAAGGACTTGCCTCTTCCTCTGAGATTATTGTCATCTATGAGTATATTGTTTATAATTTTTTTATTAATAAATGTTTTTTTTAAGGTAATGCACTAGGCCTGTGCGCCATCTGTTTGTTTTCTTTGCATCCAATGTATTTAGACTTCCTCGATCCTCTGAGGGCAGCAAGGCATGCACTTTCCAAGGCATTCGATATGTGATTGTAGCCTTTGTGGAGTCTATCCCCAAGCGCAGGAGTATATGTGTGTGCCATTTTCGATGTAGGAAACAAGGTCGTCAGAGGAACATATGTTGTCAATCAACATCCTAGAACTTCGTGTGATTTGGCTGGCTCTCCTAAACTGGTCAGTCTCCCCATCAGCATACAGTCAAACAATGCCATGGTTGTAGCATACATGTACCATCAGTGCAGGCTTAGGAAGAAGCGAAACCTGGTCTTGTCTTGGGTAGAACTTCACATTCTGGCACCCTCCTCCTGGCACATTCCCAGGGTGGATAATTGGAAGGTGGACTTTCTCCGCTGTCTGCACTTGAACACTGGAGAATAGGCCCTTCACCTGAAGGTGTTTGCAGAGATTTGTCTGCAGTGGGGGATGCCAGATTCAACAATACACTTGGCAGATTTGTGTCTTAAAGGATCCTCAGGTGTTTACAGTAGATGACCTAGTGACTCTTCGGATCAGTTTCCTCTGACCTATGACTTCTCTCCCCTTCTGCCTGTTGTGCAGGATAAAGTTGGAGGGTATTGGGTTGATTCTTATAGCACTTGCTTGGCTAGGAAGAACATGGTATGCGGTTAAAATGAATCTGAAAGAAGGAAAAAGCGAACGCTAAAACCATCAGCAGTTAATGCACCAATAAAAGTCAACCAAAAACAACCTTCCAAAATACTCAAATAGACATATGGGTGCAGCGCTAGAATATCATGGGTATCTCAGAAATGTATAATGCACAAAATAAAATTAATAAACAAGTCATAAGTGGTAAAGTGCAAATAAAGTGCAAATAATCACAATAGGTGTTGATAAAGTGACAGTAGTGAGCACACAATGGTGCTAATAAATCGATCAATATTGCACAAGAGTCCACAAATAGTGAAGATCCAAAATTGGTCTCAATTTATTGCTCCAAGGTAATCATCCAGGTGGTGTGTTGTAAATGTATTAAGATTACGCACTCACCAGATGCGCAATCAGAATACGCATTTGTGTATATAGTATCAGCCGAAGGTCCCTTTAAGGGTATGCACAGCCAGGTCTGGTCAGAAAACCTCACTTCCCCTGGGTCATCTGCCTCCACTCAGCCGTCCTCCGGAATGTACCAAGTACGAGCACACCCCTTATGAATACGTGCTTAGCACAAAACGCGTCAAGGAGGAGCTGTATGTAGTGACGTCACGCCACCGACACCACGAGGAGGTCCGGCGGCCATCCTTTTGGATTCGCAGATGGTCAGTGTGTTGTGTGTATACTTATGCTAACCAGAATAAATTAGCTATTTTAAAGAATACTACACTATGGGCATCCTTCTTTCTGGCTCTGTATGAGCCAATACCATCACAGAGCCCATTCCGGAGGACGGCTGAGTGGAGGCAGATGACCCAGGGGAAGTGAGGTTTTCTGACCAGACCTGGCTGTGCATACCCTTAAAGGGACCTTTGGCTGATACTATATACACAAATGCATATTCTGATTGCGCATCTGGTGAGTGCGTAATCTTAACACATCTTAACACACCACCTGGATGATTACCTTGGAGCACTTATTTGAGACCAATTTTGGATCTTCACTATTTGTGGACGCTTGTGCAATATTGATCGATTTATTAGTACCATTGTGTGCTCACTACTGTCACTTTATCAACACCTATTGTGATTATTTGCACTTTGCTACTTATGACTTGTTTAATAATTTTATTTTGTGCATTATACATTTCTGAGATACCCTTGATATTCTAGCGCTGCACCATTATGTTTATTTGGTTAAAATGAATCTGTTGATGAACGGCTTTCAACTCTTCCAGAATATCTACTGTTGCAGGGTCTAATCTTCCATCTTGCTTTGATTGGTGGCTTTGATGGCTTGGCTGTTAAAGCCCAAGCCCTGAGGGATAGGGGAGTTTCTGCCTCTTTCATCCCTACCCTCCTCAAAGCAAGAAAGTCAACCTCCAGATAGGTGTACCACCATACAGGGAAAGCCTTTTTCGCCTGGTGTGAGGCTCGTAAATTTCATCCCTGATCATATTTTGTGTGGCACATCCAGTCTTTTGGGAAGATAAGCTTTGGCTATAAGCACCATCAAGGGAGAAATCTCAGCCTTGGCCACTATGTTTCAGAAACCTATCGCGTCTCTTCCTTAACAAAAAGGCCTTTCTGTACAGATTGTTCCACCTGTGCAACCATAGGACCTTTGTCTGTTGTCTGTTTTGGGGACTTGAAAAGTTGTCTTTTGGTAGCCATTACCTCTGCTTGTAGGGTCTTGAACCTGCCTGCGCTTCCCTTTAAGTGAATTTGACAACATGTTTTTCAAGCCTCTGGTATCAAGGGCAAGGTTCCCCTATTCCCAGTCTAAGCCTTTTCCACCAGGAGTGTCATTGCTTTCTGGTCTATTGAGCATCATGGTTGTAAGGCTGCTACCTGGCCTTCCCTTCACATCTTTACAAAATTCTACCAGATAGATGTTCATGCTTCTGAGGACTACAGTTTTGGGCAAGCAGCATTATAATGGAGTTCACCCTGTCCTGTTTCAGGCATGTTTTTTCTCATTGCCATGTTGCCCACCCATTATATTCACTGCTTTAGGAAAACCCAAGTAGCCATGAATAAGAAGTCCTCTGTGTTCTGTGATTTACGATTAAGAAATTAGATTTTTTGGCATTTTAGTTTACCTGTAAAATCCTTTTCTTGGAGTACCTCACAGGACACGGTGATCCCTTTTCTTTTGTCTGTCCTCATTGCTCAGTCCTCAAGGCAGTTATGTCTGGGCAGGGATTCTCTACCTTATTTTGGCCAGTGTCCATTCACCTGAAGGTGGCAGAAAAACCAATGTAGTCATGAATATGAAGTCGTCTGTGTTCTGTGATGTACTGCAAGAAAACGTTTTTACAGGTAAACCAAAAATTCTAATATTTACGCATACACTGATTTGCTTTTCAGTAAAGCTATATACTGTATGTTGAAAGTAGGTAGGTGGTCTTTTTCCTGTTCCTTGGGGGCCCCCTCAAGATACCAATGGTCACACCTGGACACAGCTACGAGATCTCGGAAAGTGAATGCACTCAAGTCACCTCAGTTGCGATTGCAAACACTTCAGTTTTATTGGCATAACATCAGGGTTATTATACTGTAGTCTTTGGGCAAACACACCCTCAGACCATCCAATCAAATACATGTACATTTTTTACCTTAACTCAACAATTATTTGTATGAGGTTTGCATTTTCACTCTTCTGCTTTATCTATCATGCCATATCTGGTCTAACGGCCAGACCATGGCTGTAATCTGACCCAACGCCCAAGTTGTGGTTACAACTTTTCAGAAATGAGAGTAAACCTTATCTGCTTTTTTGTAAAGTTTGCAAAAACACTAATTTCTACATGAAGCTGGCATAGATAGTTTTGTTAGTGTGTACATATCTCATATATGTACAGTGGGGATCGAATGTTTGGGCACCCCAGCTAAAAATTTGTATTAATGTGCATAAAGAAGCCAAGGAAAGATGGAAAGATCTCCAAAAGGCATCAAATTACAGATTAGACATTCTTATAATATGTCAACAAAAGTTAGATTTTATTTCCATCATTTACACTTTCAAAATAACAGAAAACAAAAAAATGGCGTCTGCAAAAATTTGGGCACCCGGCAGAATTTATAGCATGCACTGCCCCCTTTGCAAAGCTGAGACCTGCCAGTGTCATGGATTGTTCTCAATCATCATCTGGGAAGACCAGCTTATGTCAATCTCAAAGGTTTTAAATGCCCAGACTCATCTGACCTTGCCCCAACAATCAACACCAGGATTCTTCTAAGCAGTTGTCTAGAAAACTGAAAATAGTTGACGCTCACAAAGCTGGAGAAGGCTATAAGAAGATAGCAAAGCATTTTCAGATGTCAATATCCTCTGTTCGGAATGTAATTAAGAAATGGCAGTCATCAGGAACAGTGGAAGTTAAAGCAAGATCTGGAAGACCAAGAAAAATATCAGACAGAACAGCTCGCAGGATTGTGAGAAAAACAATTCAAAACCCACGTTTGACTGCACGATCCCTCCAGAAAGATCTGGCAGACACTGGAGTTGTGGTACACTATTCCACTATAAAGAGATACTTGTACAAATATGGTCTTCATGGAAGAGTCATCAGAAGAAAACCTCTTCTACGTCCTCACCACAAAAATCATCGTTTGAACTTTGCAAATGAACATATAGACAAGCCTGATGCATTTTGGAAACAAGTTCTGTGGACCGATGAGGTTAAAATTGAACTTTTTGGCCGGAATGAGCAAAGGTATGTTTGGAGAAGAAGGGGCACAGAATTTAATGAAAAGAACCTCTGTCCAACTGTTAAGCATGGGGTTGGATCAATCATGCTTTGGGGTTGTGTTGCAGCCAGTGGCACAGGGAACATCTCACGAGTAGAAGGAAAAATGGATTCAATAAAATTTCAGCAAATTTTGGATGGTAACTTGATGCCAGCTGTGAAAAAACTGACATTAAAGAGAGGATGGCTTCTACAAATGGATAATGATCCTAAACACACCTCGAAATCCACGGGGGATTACATCAAGAGGCGTAAACTTAAGGTTTTGCCATGGCCTTCACAATCTCCTGACCTCAACATAATTGAAAAGCTATGGATAGATCTTAAAAGAGCAGTGCGTGACAGACAGCCCAGAAATCTCAAAGAACTGGAAGACTTTTGTAAGGAAGAATGGGCAAAGATACCTCAAACAAGAATTGAAAGGCTCTTGGCTGGCTACAAAAAGCGTTTACAAGCTGTGATACTTGCCAAAGGGGACAGTACAAGATATTAACTCTGCAGGGTGCCCAAACTTTTGCAGACGCCATTTTTTTGTTTTCTGTTATTTTGAAAGTGTAAATGATGGAAATAAAATCTAACTTTTGTTGACATATTATAAGAATGTCTAATCTGTAATTTGATGCCTTTTGGAGATCTTTCCATCTTTCCTTGGCTTCTTTATGCACATTAATACAAATGTTTAGCTGGGATGCCCAAACTTTCGATCCCCACTGTATGTTAAACTAGCATCTTGTATTAGTGTATACAAAATGGATTCAGTTATATTCCATTTAATCCTTTCATATGTGATCTTAATACTTTTTTATAAGAAGAACTAATATTTCTTCATTTCTAGATCCAGAAAAGGCATTCAAGTGGAAGTATGGATGACAGGCCATCAATGTCAGCAAGAGATTACGTTGAATCATTACATCAAAATTCAAGGACAACTCTTCTTTATGGCAAGAATAATGTCATGGTTCAGCCTGTAAGCAGAACAGTCAGTAATTTTATAATACCTCAAATTTATGGTGTGCGTTATCACACCAGAGTGATATAAAAGGAATTTTGGGCTATGTGTGGGGTGTAACGTTCTTTATTGTACATTTGAAATGATCTGCCATAATGGAGGAAAAGGAATATGCATTTCATTTTGCGATAAGGTGTTAATTTGGATACCCAACCGCCACATTGTTAGTAAAAAATGATACAGACAGAAAAAGGATAAGACAGGTATTTTTTGGAATACGTTCAGTGAAGCATATCCTTCTTTGACTAATACAATTGTTTCCTAATTGAACAGTACAGAGCACAAGCTTGATATTCATAGACGCTATATTATAGGCAGGTGATTATACACTGGCAAAGCTTTGAGGACACGCTTCCTAGGCCTTCCCCTATAACCCTTACCCCACTTTGTGAATTTGGTTTCTTGCTAGTGTCTTAAGGTGATTGACCACTTCTCCTTTAAGAAGAAAATCACTTCAAGCTTAAAGCAAAATTATACTTGCTGAAACCACAATTTCTTATTCTGTCCTTCCCCCCCTTCCTCTCATACAGATGTTAACTAAATGCATTTTAATGCTTACATAGGAGTTGTTTCTTTGTGGTGAAAGGCAGCACTTCTGGCTTTCTGGCAAAGAACTGGCCCTCCTGCCTCCTGGGATTGCTACAACACAGCTATCCCAAGAGGCAGTGGGTTATTAAGCTGCAACGTTGTACCACATGTGTGGTGGATTTCTGCACATGTGCACAAATGCGAATGGGTGCTATATTGCCCATTCACTAGAAGCTGCTGGCTCATGCATGCGTCCACCTCTCTTCCAGCTCCCAAATGCCTGGAAGAGACCACCAGTGCATCTGCACATACACAAATTTTAGAAAATGGAAGCATGGAAGGGGGGTTGGAAGAGTTAATCCAGAAGCTGTTTAGTTCATCTTTAACTAGTTTATTGTTTTGATTTTGGTTTTTAGATCAACTGCTCCGTTTTCTTTTACAACAATAAAAACAATGCATCCTGATTGGTGCAACCTCTGTAAAAGCTTGGGAGCCATATTTGGACCCCACAATGTGGGGGTGGCCTGTAATTTTGCTTTGTGCATTGGATCCTACTTGGATGCTCACCTCAGCTCTTGGTGCTACACATGCCTGAAGATCCCTCCAGTGGAATGCCCACTGTGTTGGGCAAAGCATAAACCCTGTTTAGAGATCAGCGATTTGGACAGATAATACAAGTTCGCCCTGTTTATTGGACCATTACTGTAGCCCTATAGAATGTGTAAGACATACTATCTCTATTACTAGCTTTACACTTGTGTGTATCCTGAAAGGTATTTTCTTTGTACAATAAAACTTTCAGGAAACAGGGAGTGTGTTTTGAAATGTGTTCACTTATACAGTGTTAAACTTTTCAAACTTGGTGCTAAAAATCTACCATTCAGAGCAGCAGTCTCCGGTGGACAACTAGCGGTTTTATTATACCCATCATTGTCTGTAGAGTAAAATGCCTCCTTTAGAGGAAGCAGACATTGAGGGAAATGAAGATGACCTGGAGGTGCTGGAGGAGTGAGCGGAAAATCTCTCACCTACAGGCTTCTGTACACCTGATTTTATGGATTCACGCAATATGCTTGCCAATGTAGCTATGCTCACTTCTATTGTGCACAAAAGCTTTGGCATTGTTACACTTGATTCTCCTTCATCTCGCCATGCTGCTTTAGGTATGAAGAGATTTGCTAAATTGAAAATGACATTCTCCATTCATGAACAGATAGAATGTGCAATTTATGATGATTGGGTCATTCATGAAAATATTTTCACCTCTCTGTGAATTACTGCCAATTTCCATTGAGTGCAAACTGTTTGTAAAGAATGGCCTGTTTGGTAGTCTTAACCTCCCTAGCGGTATTCCCGAGTGTAGCTCGGGGTAGAGTTTCAGTACCAAAAGCGGTAACCCCGAGCTACACTCGGGCTTACCATTGTCAGGGCAGGAACGCTGGAATGGGCAGGCAGGCCTATGGTACGGTCACGCTGCGACTGACGACAGCCACTTCCCACAGACCAGAGTCCCTCAGGGCGCGGAGTCTAAGCCCCAGGCTACCCTTCACCAGGGCCCCTGATGGTGGGGATGGACTTGACGCAGCCTGAGACCAGGTCGCGGCCCCCGAGTGACCCCAGCTGCGATAACGACTGCCGCCAATGGCGTACAGCTGGTGGGAGCTAGATGGGAACACGAGTAGAGTAGTCAGACAAGCCGGGTCAATAACAACGGAGCAGACAGTACTAGACGGTAGGCAAAGAATACTCAGGTCACGGGCCGGGTTCAGCAACGGGAGGTCAGATAAAGGGTTAACGCAGAGAGTAGTCTTGTCCAAGCCGAGTCGGTTACCAGGAGAGCAATGGGAACAACACAAGAGCTTGCAACAGGGCAACATACAGGACACAAGTGCAGAGCACTTGCAGTCAGCAGGTTTAAATGTGCTCAACCATACCCTTCTGAGGAGGAGCCGCAGAAGCCTGAAGGCATAAAGGTTCCCACCATGCTTTGCAGAAAACCAAGACGGATGCCAGCTCATGGAGATGCACAAGCTCTGAAGAAAGGTAGGACCTTGACAGTACCTCCTCCTCAAGGGCCCCTCCCCCTCCGTGGCTCAACAAAAGGTTTCTGAGGAAATCGGGCGTGAAAAGCGCGGAGGAGGGCAGGAGCATGAACATCCGCGGAAGGAACCCAGGAACGTTCCTCGGGACCATAACCACGCCAATGGACCAAAAACTGTACCCGACCGCGGACCAACCGAGAATCCAAGATGCGGCTCACCTCATACTCCTCATGGCCGTCGACCCTGATAGGACGAGGCCGAGGCGGAGAGGCAGTAAAGCGATTACAGATCAGAGGTTTCAACAGGGATACGTGGAAGACATTGGAGATGTGCATCCCAGGAGGAAGAGCAAGGGCATAGGCAACTGGGTTCACCCTGCGAAGAATGCGGAAAGGACCAACAAAACGGGGGGGGCCAGCTTTGGTGCGGGCACCCGAAGCTTGAGGTTGCGAGTGGACAACCACACACCCGATCTCCGACCTGGTATGAGGGAGCGGGCAACCGTCTACGATCAGCCTGGAGCTTCTGGCGCTGTGCTGAGTCCTTCAAGGACCTCTGAATCTGCCCCCATGAGGAGCGCAGAGCAGCCAGGTGGTTATCCACAGCCGGAATGTCCTGTGGAGAGAACAACTCAGGCAATACAGCGGGTTGGAACCCATAGTTGGCCATGAAGGGGGACATCCCAGAGGAGGAGTTGACAGCCGAGTTCCTCGCAAACTCTGCCCATGGCAGGAGATCGACCCAGTTGTCCTGATGATCCGATATATAGCAACGAAGGAATTGTTCCAGGGCCTGGTTGGAACACTCCGCAGCCCCATTGGACTGAGGGTGGTAGGCCGAAGAGAAGGAAAGCTCGATACCCAACTGGGAGCAGAAGGCGCGCCAGAACCTGGACACAAACTGGCTCCCACGGTCCGAGACAATCACCTTGGGCAACCCGTGCAAGCGAAAGATCTCCTTGGCGAAAACCGTAGCCAGTTCCTGTGCAGTCGGCAATTTCTTGAACGGAACACAATGGCACATCTTAGAAAAACGATCGATCACCATAAGAATGACCGTATGACCTTGAGACGCAGGAAAATCCACAATAAAATCCATTCCCAGGTGTGACCAGGGACGCTCCCCATTGGGAATGGGTTGCAGAAGGCCCAATGGAAGGTGCCGAGGAGATTTATTCTGGGCACAGACCGAACAAGCTGCTACATATGAGGCGATGTCAGAACGGAGAGATGGCCACCAGAATAACCGAGAAACGACCCAGGACAATTGGTTCCTACCAGGATGACCGGCAGTCTTGGAATTATGGTAGGTACGTAGCAAGCGGGTACGCAATCCCTCAGGTACAAAACATCTTCCAGCAGGTCTCTCAGGGGGAGCGTTAGTTTGAGCCGCCAAAATCTGCTCCCCAAGGGGAGAAGTCAGGTTGGTACGAATGGCAGCCAGGATCTGGTTTGGAGGAATGACCGAGGTCGGCTCAGTGTCCTCCCTGGACAGCTCAGAGTATTGCCGCGACAAGGCATCAGCCCTGACATTCTTGGAACCAGGCAAGTAAGAGACCACATAGTTAAAACGTGACAAAAACAGAGCCCACCTGGCCTGACGGGGTGTCAACCTCTTAGCCTCCGAGAGATATGTGAGGTTCTTGTGGTCAGTGAGAACTAGGACCGGGACCACAGAACCCTCAAGCAGGTGCCTCCATTCCTTGAGAGCCAGAATAATGGCCAACAACTCCCTGTCTCCAATCTGGTAGTTGCACTCTGCAGAGGAAAGCTTCTTGGAGTAGAACCCACAAGGAAGTAGGGGTCCCTCGGGTGACCGACGCTGGGACAAGAGGGCGCCTACTCCTGTCTCAGATGCATCAACCTCGAGAACAAAAGTCAACCCAGGATTGGGATGAGACAGAATTGGGGCCGAAGTGAAGGCGGCTTTCAGAGCCTTGAAAGCTGAGATGGCCTCGGGTGACCACTCGTGAGGGTTACTGCCCTTCTTGGTCAGATCTGAGAGAGGCTTTGCCAATGTGGAAAAGTTCCTGATAAACTTCCGATAATAGTTGGCAAATCCCAAAAAGCGCTGAATGGACCGAAGACCACTGGGACGAGGCCACTGCAGAACCGCTGAAACCTTCTCAGGGTCCATAGAAAAACCCACCGGGGAAATGATGTAGCCTAAAAAGGCAACCTGGGATTGGTGAAATTCACACTTCTCGAGCTTACAGAAAAGCTTGTTTTCACGTAACCGTTGCAGCACCCGCTTAACATCCTGGATATGAGTCTCCATAGACGCAGAGTAAACCAGGATGTCGTCCAAGTAAACCACCACGCACTGCTGCAACAAGTCACGTAAGACATCGTTAATAAACTCCTGAAAGACCGCGGGTGCGTTACACAA